GTTGTTTCAGCTGAGCTAGCTACTTCACTAATCAACGAGCGACATATGCTAGGGCACGTTAATCATTGAAAGGACTGTGCTGAGTAGCACTTTACTCTTATGTGTCTTCGGGGACACATACAACTATGGCAAAGAGCTACCAGTCGGATTCAAACTATTAAATATATCCCATTCTATCACGCAGTGTAGGAGAAGTAATTCTAAGTGACGAACTATGAGCGTTTCGACATTGGTTATGTCCCCCACTTTCGTGAGCCGTTCTAATTTACTTGCATCTTTGAGTATGGCGTACATCTCATTGCATTCGGTTTTGTTCATGATCATCACCCCCCGAAACTTGAGCTGGTTTCATTACGATTTTGTCCTTAGCACATTCGAGATGAGGTTACTCAACTTACCTTGAAGAGTTTTATTTTATAAGTGGGGTTTTTCGAAATCACCAGCCAAATAAAACTCGTCTGGCTTAGATGTACACCGTTTTCTTTCCTAAACTGTTCCAGAAAGGAATGCGGTGATGGTGTCCCATGGTGAGACAAAACGGTGAATACAGTTGCCTTTGGAGTGTCATCTAACCTCTGTATGCAAAGTCGAAGCTGGAAATTTTTACTATTTTCCTCCCACCACTGCTGATAAAGGAGCTTGAAATGGGTGCAGATTGCTATTGTTAACTACTATGATAAATGTTGACAGTGAATCTTAGAAGCGCTCTCCCATGTTCTTAGCCACTAAGGGCGCTCAGTGGATTACACAGTGAATTGGAGGAACAGAAGAGAGAACGCTTTTTAGATGGGCAATGAATCCTCTCTATCTTCCGACCATTGTGGTAGTACCACCTGTTCCACCTGCAACTAAGTTTTGCATTGTGGTGGAGTTTTCATGCAAATAGCCATTGACTACATCGAATATAGAATGGTCCTTTGTATGAGTTATATATATCCTGGCAAGCAGCATCTCTCCGTTAATACACTACCATTGAAGAATTGGACATATGCCGCGAGAAGAGCGTAGTTATCAGATAAAATCAATTTATCTACGCGTAACGAAAATTTTCTGGTGTCTAGTAACGTAACGATGGTGCTTTCTTGGTTCCGGGCCATCACATCTCTTCGCCTAGGTACAGTTGAGTTGCTGAGCAGAATGGCTGGAAGTATTTCCTGTGGAGTCATATCCATCAAGTCCGACAGTATTCTAAATTATGAAGGCAGAATGATATTTTCTCCAACATCATGTGGATTGCAATTTTCGGCGATCAATTTTCTGATTTTATACGACTAAGTAAGTCCATTTGCCTTTATTTCCCTGTCAGAAACTATTGTCTGTAAAGTTGGTATGTTTTCGAAGCTGTTCCACAGCTTTCAAAAAATATCCAGACTTTCCGCTTTCGCCATTATCGACACCATCCAAATGAATTTTCCGTTCATGTGGTCGCATATTTTCACTTAAAGGAGCATTTTGGCAAATTAGACAGATGGGTAGAGTGGGGTTTTGAAGTGATACGATACATCCAAATGACAGGTATTCTACGTAGTACTACCGACATTTCTTTGGGGAGGAGCTGCTTTCTGAAATATGTCATTGTGAATTGTTAATATATGTTTAGATATGCTGCTTTTGTTTTATTTTGCTTACACATATCATGCGTATAAAATTACATCATTTGACATGGCGAAATACACGCAGGTAGTGTGAATAATTGGTGGCACTGAATCTCTTCTTGCTTGCTTGTGAGACTATAAGCAAAAACGTATGGCAAGCATACTTGTAGCATCTGTTGGTGGCCACAATGTTGAAATGTATGAGTGTAGAAACACTGTTAGAGGCCAGCCAAAGTTGCTTTCTGAGGATGGCTTTGGAAATACCGTGAATAGCTAACATGACGGAAGGTAACTAATTGACAACAGCTGATGATGAAAACAAATGGAACTCAGAAAATGACAATACTCATTAGGCACACGTACATTACAGCAAAATTGTAACAAACAATGGTAACAGGTAAAATGGAGGACAGAAGAGACAATAACGGAGGAAAATGCCGGATAGTTAAAGAAACCCGCATGAAAGAGTCAACGACGAAGCGGATAAGCCACATCAGCTATTGCCAAACATGACGTCAAATACGTGCTGTCAGGGCATTTGATTACTGGGTATATGGAGCAGTATCCTTATGTACACATTATGTTATATCTACTCACCAAAGTAACCGGATGTCCTCACGTAAGATAATACCCACGCGCGAAATCACCACTGGAATTCGGAATCTTGCTACTTAACGTGGCTTGGCCGCCAGAGGTACACGTGAGCTGAGACGATAGTTTTCCTCCATTTTAAATGTCAGTTAAATATGTGTTCACACCAATACTCTTATAAAACCCCTTCCTTGTAACCATTATACATACATACTTGTGGAACATTGTCGGCCGAGACTGGAGACGAAAATCGCGTGACCCAGCGCTACCGAGGTGAGACCGGCAGGTGAGTTGTCACACGGTGGTAGTGTCCTGAGGAAAACTCATTTATTGTCAGTGTGTCTTTGTGCCGTAACTGCTGTAGTGTACTAAGGAGAGTACGCTAGGTTAACTGCAGCTTGCCGAGGAGATGCATCAGTGTTCTGCGTAAAGCTCAGTTGACTCACTGTGGATAAGCATCAAAATGCAGAGGACGAATTGGCCGTTGATTGTACACTCTAAGTCGTCGTGTGATGATTGTATGTTTGAGGTGAGCCTGGCGTAATTTACGCAACTTTGGCGGAGCTATGCCAGCTCCGTAGCAGAAATTCTGCTCAGCCTGGCTTTCACACCTTCGTAAACAGACATTTGAGTGGACGTAATTCCTTTCACTGTAGTTACCAGTGGAGATTAGTACGCGGAGAAAAACTATCAGGGAAGTATTTTTAAATGCATTTTGTCATTAGCGTTATCACGACGCACTTTACAGCATGGTCACCTATGGCCCCCATGCCCCCCTAAACCATTTTCTCATCCCAGTGCCCCCCCGAGAATTCTCTACGACTCCCCAAGGGCCATATGGCCCCCGTTGTAAATGGTTGGCTTAGACATCCGACAGAGTATTTCGGAAGGAAATGCAGCAACTTTGCAAGTTAATCCTGACTAGGCTCGCAAGTATCGATCCGAAATTCGCACATGATTAACACCATAACGAGCAGTGCTGGACACACCTTAGCACCACACTTGTGAGTACTGGCTAGGAGACCAGATGAAAGGATTGTCCTGTTCTCCGAGCTGGACATTTCTGTTGCAGACGTTTCGTTACCAAACTAGGTAACATCTTCAGTGCAGCTATTTGGTGTTGATTCGCAGAGTCTCGCAAACCAGACTCCGCGAATCAACACCAAATAGCTGCACTGAAGATGTTACCTAGTTTGGTAACGAAACTTCCGCAACAGAAATGCCCAGCTCGGAGAACAGGACAATCCTTTCATCCACATCCCGAGCTACAGGTATTCTCAATAGGAGACCAGAGTTTACAGCATGCTTCTAAGGAAGTGCTTTGAGGGATGGAGAACATCAATGTAACCCTCGTTGCGTGAATGAACTGCGACACACCATTTCAGTCATGGCCGCGATTCACAATGATACAGACTTTGCTCAATTCAGTCATGCGAACACGATCTGAAGCAGTTGAGTATTGCTCGCTCGCAACGCACTGCACTATACGACCGGATCTTCGCTCATTTCCAGTCATCGGACAGAGATGTCAGGACTTCAAAGTTGGGCTTGGAGAATCCGCTGGTGGTTGGGTTGCTACAAGCAACCTCTATTGAGGCCTTGGTTCACTTGAGGTGGACCTTGGTCATTCCGATCAAAAAGACCGGATGTAAAATAGAAACATTATAGTGTTGCTCATCCCAACACTGGCACCCGAAGACCGCGGTTTCGTCCTGGTTGGGACTCATCAGTACGAGATAGCCTGAATTGGGCTGGAACTCAGAGCCTAGTGGCTCATGGTTCACACCATAAGCATAGTGCCAGTGTTGGGATGAGCAACACTATAATGTTTCTATGTCAGGACTTCACTGAAACCCGGACCAATTGGGAGGCCAGCGGGAACACATGTAAGCCACTAAGTCGTTGCCAGCCACACTCGTCTCAACGGGTAATGCTAGAGTGTAATACAAAGTAGGAGACAAGTGGTTTCGTGCAGTGTGTTGCGAGGGCACAACACCGCACAGATATGTGGAAGTGCGTACGCAGAATAGTCTGAGCTGTTCGATGTGTGCCAAACATGACAGCAAGAATAGCTTGTTCGCGCTTTTGGTAGACATCAAGATAAATTTGCTAATTACTCTTTTCCAGAATGCTGGAAGCATACATACATTCCCTGGTTGACTTGACTGATCCAACTTGTCACGCTTTGGAGATAAGTGGGCATTCTCATGTTGAATCTCCTCAGCGGAAGGCATTGGAAAATGCGGAGCAGCTGCATCGTCTTCTATATAAAAAGCAGCTTGAGATATTATACTCACTAAACAATGATACTAGGGCATGGTTGATAGCACTGCATTAGGTTACCAGATCCTGAACAAGCAGAATGAAATCACCCACAACATGTTGGTTGTTAGGTACACTGCAATCATGAAGGCCCGCCAACTAAAGCCGGTGAGGCAGCGTAGGAACTTGGAGGTGTCCAGGAATCGTGTCAAATTGGCACTAACCTGTTGATTCTCCAATACGCTGTCACTACTTGTACATTCATGGAACCTGAACAAGCAATTAATATGTTTCAGTTATGTGACTCGATTCAATCTGCTCTCCTTCTGGCTCATCTACTGATGTTTATTTTCCGGTAGCGCACATTTGTTTTTGATAACTTAAGCTCCAGCAATCAATGGGTGGAGAAAGTACTTGTCTCCATGACCGTAGTAGAGAAGTACCCCATTTTTCCAACTTTCAGCAACACATCTAAAGTTTTATAGACAAAATCTACTACAAAGTATAGTAAATTCAGGCTTATGGCGGGATGGAAAGTCTTCTAAAACTCACTTTTGATCGGTAAGGAAGACGAAAGTGCGACGTGCCTCTTCATGCCTGAAACAAAGTATGTTGACTCACATTAAGGTTGTAACGCAGGTTGACTGAGAGGATAAAGCGCACCCTGAATATTTTGCTTCACGAAAACCTGCCTGTACAGAATGGTTTTACATAGATGGGTTATTTAGTGAAACCTTCTAGCACAGCTGTCAAGGCTTGATTTGTAACGTTGTTTTTATGATTTAACCCCTCTGTTTAAACGTGTCAGTCACCGGTATACCCGATGCGGTCTAACTACATGCAAGTTATCCAGTTTATTATGAACTCTGTAACGAGTGTGCGAGTATGATTTGATACGCTCTACCAAATACGACAAATGTTATGTTAGTGTTTGTTTCTGCACGTTAATGCACATGCTCACATAACCAAAATAACAAGAGCGACAATCTGTGGATGTGGTTTACAGAGACTTCCTCAAACAGTCTGTCCTTCTGACACGGTCCTAAGTGAGTTTCATCTATTCCCAAAAGGAAAGGGCTTCTTAAGAGGAAAACCTTCCGATTCGAATGAAGAGGCGAACAGGATGGTTGAAAGCCGGTTGATAGGGCAAGAAACACAGCTTTAGTTGGATGGTATTGGACAATTTTATGGTCGATTTGATAAATGCATCCCTGTTTAAAGTCAGTATGTAGAAAAATAACAGCTGTTTTCATGCCTTTTACTTCGCTAACATATCAGACCAATAATTAAGCTAATATCTATCACATGTTTATTATAGGGGCCATTGTCCAAACGGACAACTTATTAATGGATGGCAGTTTGCCTTTTCGGCATACGCAAGAAGAATTTCGCATCGCTTTCAAATTGACGGCCATACTAGAGTCGCATGGCTCCTATGATCCACCGGCTTATATACAAGTCTACCTGGTGTTTTATATCACGCCTCTGGTTGTCAGATTATCCATCTAACGCCCTCGTACCCATGACAACAAGGCTGCAACATGGTTCAACGTATTGTCCCACGGGGAACATTTGACCAACCCCTTCCACTGCCTCACAATAACACTTGAGGCTACCACTAGAAAAAAGAGCTTATGAATGTATCGCCTCTGTAAGCACCTGTCGGTATATATGCTTTCTGGTCTTATGACTTGGTGCGTGTCTGCTAACTCGCTGGCGATGATACCTCGGTGGACGCCACCGACGGGCTCCAGTCCAGCAAAACACAAAATAGTTTAACTACACACCGCACCGGTCTGTAAACAGTAACTGAAGCTACCTGTTGCCCACGTCACTTATAACTTAGCCTCCACCAAGTGGGACCACCAACCTTTACCCCCTCCAGGTACTATAACCACTGGTGTAATGCAAGTGTTCGCTGCATCATGGTGTATGCCTCCCCTCCCCCCCCCGACAACTTAGTGCAGATGTCGATGATGTGCTTATTTACCTAATCAGTACAATCCAGTTACTGGTATAACAACACAATAGGTATAAAGGGATTTGAATGCCATGAATGTAAAACTCACCATCTCAAAATGAGTAAATACACAAGACCGAGGAAAAGCGTGCATAGACAAGCGGGAAACAGACCGGGAATCCCTGCGTTTTTCACTGTTTTGAGGAATAGGCCACCCAAGTAACTCAAGTCTCTGTGTGTCTGAGGGGAAAGAATAAGAAGAATGGCCCCGAGCTTTAATCTTTAACTAGAAGTAGTTGCGAACTGATTCACCGCCGAATTCAACAGCATACTCGAATCGGTGTAGTTTTCAGCTGGTGTTAAAGTTTGTTCTACCTACACACGTAAGTTTGTCTACTCTGCAATCCTCTTGGTGGACATGAAAGTGAGGGCTTAAAGTTGGCAGATGAGTGACGCTTCAGTTCAAGGTAACCGTACCACTTTTGCTTTCAAATCAGTCTGAACAATGAACAATGATTTATAACGGGTACAAAAGAAGGTGCTTGACATGTCCCGTAGGGTGTATAGCGTGATAAAAGGATAGCGAAGGGATAATGGAGTCTTCAGTTCGGGCGCTTACAGATGTAACCACACTGTCGTATAGAGGGAGTTTGAAATGAGAATGTACTCACACAAATCAAAAGGGGAGTCGTTGTTGTTCACATCATAGGCGAGAAAAATAAAAAAGGTAGCAAGGACAACGCTTATTCGTGTGCAACAATCTTGGGTTGACAGGATACAGTAATCCAGTTTCTGTAGTAGTAGCGTTTATCAAATTTCGTGTAAGGAGTTTGGAATGACTCATTCTCGAGTAGTGTCTGTCTGTTGTGCATTAGTGCCAGCATCTAGTGCTCATGAGCTATAGCACGTAGTGTAAATGTGACAGGGTATCGCCAAGGCGTTTTCTGAAAAGGTCTAGGGTGGGTGCATTAATTACATGTTCCGCGAGGGCGTTCCAAGGCTGTGCCACTCGAACGGAGAAATAGTTTAGCCGACATTCCAGGCTGCTGTACTGCGTGACTAACTTAACCTGGTGACCTCTTAGCGAGGTGTTTTGACTGAGTATTAGAAGGGAATGGCATGGGTGGTTGGGGTCTCTCAGGATCAAGTACACCATCATGAGATCGCCCTTTAAACGCCGATAACGTCCACTGTATATTTTGAGGGTCTTCAGCCTGAGTGGGTAGTAGAGGCTGGTCAAACCTCTGACGCTTTTCGTTGCCCTACGTTGTGCAGCATCGAGCGCGCTGAGATGCTGCTTGAGCCAGGGTTGCCACGCTTGAATAGCGTACTCCGCGTGCGGCCTCACGTACGCACTAAGCATTTTTGGGAAGACTGAAGGGTCAAACTTCCCGAAGGCGCTACGAAGAAGGCCGAGGTAATGGTTCGGTTTCTTAGTTGCCTTTTCAGTCTGCCTCGAACAACCGAGGTCATCTTGAACTTTCACACAGAGATCGCACTCATGAGAAACCCGCTGTAGAATTTGTGGTCCTAGGCGGTAGTTGTGCATACTCTTGTGCCGTATACTGAGAACTTTGCACTTGGTGACATTAAAATGCAGCATGTTCTCGATGGACCATGTGTACGCTTTGTCCAGGTCCTCCTGTAAGAATGTGTGATCCTCCACTGCAGCTATAGTGTTCCATACCTTTAGGTCATCAGCAAATAGCAAACTAATAGAATATAGCACACTCACGAGATCATTTATGAAGACCAGGAACAGGCGGGGGCCAAGTACCGAGCCCGTAGGTACGCTGCATTGAACTTCCATGGATTCTGATAGGTTGCTTCTAACCCTAACATTCAGGTGACGTTGTAGGAGAAAGTCTCCTATCCAGCCCAGAACAGGATCGCCGATTCTATATTTCTGGAGATTGTGGAGGAGAATGCGATGGTCTATGCGGTCGAATACCTTCGAGAAATCCAAGTAGGCCACGTCAACTCCTACACCAGCGTCCACGGATTCCGTCCAGCTTGCACGAGTGATCAACAGATTAGTTGTACAGGAGTGATTTCGGCGTAATCTATGCTGTTGCGGAACGAGAATTTTGCCGTTCTCCAGGTACCCCATCAAAGCATCAGCTGTAATGGTCTCCATAACCTTGGAGATCACAGGAAGTAGTGTTATCGGGTGATAGTTTGCTGGTTCAGCACGGCTGCCACTTTTGTAGATAGGCGTGATGATTCCGTGCTTCCATATCATGGGGACGTGCATCTCGTTCAGACATCGTTGAAAGAAAATTGCTAATGGTCCTGCCAAACTCATAGCAACAACTTTCAACGCCTTTTGTCGAATGCCGTCCGCACCCGGGGAGCTGAACTCGCGCAGAGACATCAGCCACTTCAGTACAGCTGCGGAGGTGAACGATATGTGATTAAGCCCTGAGGGTGGCGTTATCTGCTTAGGCATGATGTATAGTGATTGCGCGCTTTGGAAGGTACGGCCAAATTGTTGTCCAAGGAGGTTGGCCGCCTCTTGTGCGGTTTGGGCTAATCCGCATGCTGTGTGCAGAGCAGGAATACCGCGCTTAACACGGCGCAAATTGTTTACGTGTCTGTATAGCAGTTTGGGATTGGAGCAAAACTTTTCCACCAAACCTTGTTGGTTCTTAAGTTTATCCTCCCGGACGAGTTTGACACAGTGGTTCCTTTGTATTGTGTAGACCTCCCAGGTATGGTCGTTCGGGGAGGCCATGTAAGTTTGCCATGCCAAGTCCCTTACTGCCATACACTTACGTGTCCTGCTCCTTACGAAAGGCTTCATCCTTTTAGGTCGGTAGAGTTTGGCTTCAGATGTCCTTGCCTGTGTTGAGCCATGTGTAATACCTGTAGGAAGGCTGCTCTGGATGTGGCACAAATATACCACCTAAAACAAGCCATTAGATTCTACTGTTTTACAATTTGGGCTTGCGAAACAACTTCGTACCAAGCTACAGAACACTAGGTGTTTGGATGAAGGCCCAACTTACAACAGTTTGCTGTGGTCAACGTCATTCTGCAGTCAACAGATGTTTCCAGGCCAAACAGAAAATGGGGCATAAGTTGTGTTGCTCACAGACACACGCAACCGGTTCATATCGCATGGGAGTATTAACGACTCATTATAAGGTGTGATAACTGACTAGTATTTCCTAACAAATCTTCGAGCTTTCTTGGGGGTGAGATGGTATGTTTTATTGACCGCACTGTTTGGACAATTTTACCCGCATGCTTGAGGCTCAGTGGTCCTGCAGGCCCTGTGTTCCAGAAATGCACAGCACATGCCGAAGTTCTGTTAATGTCTTGAAAAGACGCAGCAGACAAGTATGAAAAACCTGACTCACAGAGTATTTTTGAGCACATTAATCTACGAAATTGAGACAATAGAATTCTTTAGCTCACTGGTCAGCCAATCAATGCTCCTCAGTGCAACTGAGAAGAACGCCGTCACCTCGTGATGACCAGTTTATGCAGTCTTATGATTTTTAGCCTTTCATATCTGGTCATTCGTGCATACTCGTTCTTTGCAATATTCTCAAGCCCCAATGACAATGTCATGGAATTCAATAGCTATTCCTATGGCTATCCGACACGTGAGTTGTCGCTGTCAGATGAGCTGATGATGGGGTTTTTCACATCCGAAGCTGTGGTGCATTTGCAAGATTAAGGAATCACATATCACCTCCTTAAGAAACATAAATGGTGACTGAATGATTGATGCATAGACTGCATGTAACAGTATTATTCCAGGTACAGCATTTTTTAGGTGCTAATAGAGCTTTACAGTTTTGAGACGTTCATATAGTCAGGCACGCGCTAAGAAACATGGTGGTGGCCCATTTAATTTTGAGAAAAAGCCACGCTAAGGCATATCCTGGGCTACCTCGTGCCATGCTTAATTGTAAATTATTGGATCATATTACACTAAAATGAGCATTGCCTCCGGGAAGATTCAAACATTTAGCATGTTCGCGAACCGGTTCAACACATTCATGAGTGTCGAACACGTTAGCACCTGTTCGTTTGAGTCCAAGTGAGGCCTGGCCAATTATGCTTGGACGCGCATGTCACCAGGTGCTGACCAGTTGTCCACTTAGTCACAGTTGATCAGGGTCAAACTTATCCCTAGTTGGCTGACTTAGCTGATTATTTTGGTAGCTCGTGTCTGTAGTAGTCGAAAGAATACTAGGAAGGTTTCAACCACTTAGTAAACACAAAATGTTGGAGAGAGTCAACTCATAATCTAATCACAGTTGAGTTCGAATCCTAGATTGTGCTATACCTGTGGCACAGGTTGAACACGATGAATATCGACGTTCGATAGTAATTCCAAGTCTAATAACCGATTGGCAAGCAGACTGGATGGCACCGTATGCAAGCAGAATCAGCCCAGCCAAAAATAAACACTAAGGAGCGCCGGCCACGAAGAAGTATATTGCAACCGTTAATTCAAAAAAACTGTACAAAAGATGTCATGATAAAATCGGTGATAGGAAAGACAACATGTGAAAGATTAATAACCACTACAGGTCCTGCACATTTACTACACAATAGCTAGATTATCAATACTATTTTGCATATAGCCGATCAGATATTGTCAACCGTCATCGGTTTCTCCTTGCCATATCGACCGGCACCAACCTCAGGTTGTAACTACGTTCACAGTTGCAGAGCTTGTATCAAAAATGCTAACTGCTACTGTGCATGGTAGAGTACCCACAATTGTACACAATAGGGGCAGCACACACCGAGCATAGTTCACACTCTCCAGCAAAATTCAGTCGTAAACATTCAGTGTTGTGCCAATCAGACTCACATGAAGTATTGCGAATAACCCAGGCGTGTTACAGACGCAACGGACAGTCGTCTCATTGTATTCATGATAAGGACAGTTTTCCGCTTGACTCCATTGTTTGGTGCTATTGCTCGCCAGTCGACCGCAGGTATAAAGCGTGGTCGCCGGAGAGTCTGAGACCCGGAAAACGATGCTCACTGTGAGATCCTTCCATGGCTAGGTAAAGGAGGCAGAATACAATGAAAATGCACATACACATACATGAGTAGGGAAGAGCAGCCTTGTTAAACCTTACGGGTTTGTTGGAAGCCAGTCATGAGACGATCACAGCTTTTGTGGCGATGGCAATACGGTGCCCATCGACCGGTCATTACGGACGGCCAGGCTGTTTTTCTCACTTGCTAGCACAGCGACACACTTCGCAGGAAACACTTTTGCTTACTTTTCACCTGCATGAAGGCTGACTAACGATCGATCGAAGCATGACACTTACACTGCGGCTATGTGGTGTCCGCCTCAAGTCCAATTCTCACAGATGAACAGTGTGCGTTCCTTGGGTCTTGCCATGCAGTGGAAGCATGACGTATTCATTGCGGCTGTGGTGTCTGGCGAACGTACATTTCTCACAGCCGAACGGCTCGGTGTGCTCTGCCATCCTAAGCACACATGTGGCGTCTGTGTCCCACCTAAAAACTGACGGCCAAGCGATTTGCGCCATTGGACAGCTAGCGATTCATCGTACCGGTTGTACCTCAGCACCTGAGTGCAGCCACTCCTGGCTCCTGACCAGATTAACAAAACACCCGGTATATGGCATAAATCACGGATGATCATGACTGGGATGCATTAAACAGACGGTAGTTCGTGATTGGTTGCTCAAATGCTCAAGTGTTCAATGAGCTGCGGATCAGTGTTCAGAATCTTCACTTACACGCAAATTGACATCGTCATAACCACACACTCGTCGTGTTAAACCACCCGGGACTTAGATTAAAGTGCAACTAAGTAGTTGCAGATAGTTGTTCAGATGGCAATGCTTAACTCAAAAGACACTATGTGATTACAACTGGTGACACCATCGGAGGAAGCCGAGATTTCGCTAGAGTGCATTTACCGCACATTTTAAATTGAATAGGTCTATAATTAGAGATCAAACTACCTTGTTTCGGCTAGCAGGATAATTTTGCTTACGCTGCAGCCGAGGTCAGGCAGAAATTAGGTCTGCGTCTTATCACCCGGATGCGAACTGTGTTCGACTGTGACAGGTAACGCCGAGTTTTAGTGCAGTTATCTTGAATTTACTCAGTGGATTCAACTACATGCGGCCTATTTGGGTATGTCATCTTTGGCGGTGAAGTTCTGAACCTTTTCCATGCCCATATTCCTTCCTAGTCATTCGCTTTCCACAGTTCATGATCGAACGCTTTCTTTTCAATACCTGAGATTGACATTCCACTCTCCGGAAGTGAGGCACAAAGCGCTTCCTTCAAGCAGTTTTATAAATAATCTTCTTTACCAGTGTATCGCCTCAATCTTCTTAAACACAATCTTAAGCGCTCTAATTATTGTTACAGTGAATCTAGCAGATAAATATATACATCCGTACAATACTGCGCCATTTTATAAATAAAATAATGATGCAGGTGTTCTCCCATTGCTGACTTAGTACGTTACTATTGGGGTTACTGGCGAGTATCCACCGCATTAATTAACCACATAAGATGGGTGCCAGAAATATATCAACCAGGCGTTAGAACACTGATTGACTCACATTCGTCATATCTATCAACACAATGCCTGAATAGATTATGTGGTCTGAGATAGAAATACGCTCGGTGACTCTGACCAGTTCCGTGCAGACAACCAAGAGCGGACCGTTATATCCTTTGATTTCAATGTCGTAGCTGGAAGCACACTGTGAAAAAGAGATGATATGTATGAGAATTTTCCAATACCATGGAGTATTTTGCTTACATCAAATATCAAGTATACCTAAGTCTAAATGACAAGGCCTGTTTAACGAATAAAAAAACACATCACACTACGTGCTCGTAGTATAGTAAGTGGCAAAATATTAGTTTTAGCAGCATACATTACCGTAAATTCCTCGCTGGAAGAAGAGGTATCCCCTACTCCATTCACAATAATGCTCAAAAGCTTGTGACACAGGACAAAGCACCATGCGAGAAAGAGATTGATTTAAAGTGACATACCTAGGACATTGATGCTCAAGATGATACTATGGGGCTTGTAGCAGTTTCGCAAACCTTAGTAGATGATCAATTAGCAACACTTCGCAATGATTAATAACCGCGGGAAGACGAAAGCCAAAAACAATGGAAGACTTGAACCGACCAAATTGGTGCCACTCATACCAGATTGGTCAATGGTTAGAGGCCAGACAAACTCAGCCTCATGGTCCTCCAGGTTGGGGGTTGGAATGAGGGTGGCTTCTTATTCCTTAAAACAGATTCCTTGTAACCAACCGCCAAACCCACTGCATTGTGATCAGGTTTTCGAACCAAACGCTTTGGTTAAGAACCCTACTCGATCTCCTGTCTAGGTCTAGGCAACCTGCCAGTATACTGCCCACGAAATGCAATAAATTTCTCTTCAAACAGATTCTTGATGGCTTGGCTGTCGCAGAGGATAATAAACGGCTTCCTATCTGCTGCATCAAATAGGGTGAATAGGGGTTTGGATGCTACTGTCCAAGACTTCCCGTCTTCTTATTCCCCCACTTACTCTTCTTCATGCTTGTCGTCCTGTTGCAACTTCATTTTTATCCCCCATGTTTTCAACATCATCCCACACAATTCTTGGCCCTCCCTCAGCATGAGTTGCTAAGCGTTTATCTTCCACTTTCAACTCACATGCAAACGCAGAGAGTCACTCTTGTTCTGTCGACAAGTCCATGTCCAACCAAGCGTACCACCACAGTTCATGGTTTTCAATATGAAGCTGACAATACTTCTTCAGCTTGGCATGCCACAATGTAAGTACATTTCTACAGATCGGTCAACAGGCAGCACTTGCCAGAGCATTAGAGACCCTCTCCATCAATATCTGCTGCTTATCGGAAAACAGCCTGCAACACACGAGCTCTGTGCTCACTCTGCGATCCCATTCAGGTGACACCAGCAGTATTTCCCCATTGCGCCTATCCATTGACGGCGCAGCTTCGAGCACCGGCCAAGCTGGTGTTGGCATTACACTGAGTCCTCGGGCTGAAACTGCTCTGGTTGATTGGATCCCAAGCAGTCGCCGGATTTCTGCGATCCGATTAGCTAGCTCGTTCAAAGCTTTGAAGTCGCGCGGGACTAATAGGTTTCTATTCATCATCACTGCCTATCCGCCCACAAACTGTAGCGAGGATTCGGTAAAAGACGACTTATACCGCCAACTGATCCGGCTCCTTCCTTCTCCACAGAAGAAGCACGGACACTTGTGCTGGTGGGGGATCTGAACACACAAGTTGGAAAATTATCCACTGATGAACTGCATCTGGGCGGCCAGCACGCTGAAGGCAGCCGTAATGATAACGGTGAGCGGTTACTTCATTTGTGTGACGATGCTCGCTTAATTCTCGCGAGCAGTAATTTCCGACACAGCACACGCCGGATGGTGACTTGGCGCCCACCAGCCTCGAAGCAGTCTTGGGCGCAAATCGATCACATGGCAATCAGGTACCGCTGGCGAGGCTGCAGCCAGAACTGTCGCCCGTTTTGGAGCACATGCACTTGTATGTGCTGACATGCGGATGTGTTTTGGCGTACGCGCACGACGACGCTGTGAGCACATTGACACCAGCCAACTGGTGAGGCCAGCTGTTCTGAATGCTTATCAACGTACGCTGACATACAAGTTGTGTAAGCGCTCACTGGAGATAATTGAAGGTCACTAGTCGCATGTACCGCAAACCTTACTAGACGCAGGCAAATCTTCATGTGGTGAGTCTAATCGCCAACTTGGACATTGGGTCTCTTCGCGGTCTTTGGAAATTATCGATGTTCGTCGGTACATGCCGGCTGGAAGCGAACACAATGAAACTCGCAAAGAGCTCCGAGCAAAACCCGTGCTAGCATGAAGAAGGATCGCGAATCGCGGTGGTCTGTTAGTGCGTCAGAGATGGTGGTGGCCTTTGCCCTTGGTAACCATCGAAAGTTATTCTTTCGGATAGGGAAAACGGGCAGCAGGAGACCTGGTGTTAGTTAAACAATTTAGAACCAGATTGTACAGCCTATCAACGATTTGTCAAAACGTTTGGAATGTTGGGCTGAGCATTTTGAAAGGCGATTTAATCGGCTCGAATCGTTAAGTTCTTCACCGGCCACTGATCGCGTTGCTAAGAGCCTCTCCATTTGGATCCGCCCTCTCGCTCAGAAGTCAAACGTGAGATCGCAATGTTGAAGTAAAACAAACCTGCGGGACCAGAGGTCCTATCTCCAGCCCTCTTCGAATTCGAGAGCCCTGTTCTAGTTGACGATTTACACGAATTACTAATGAAACTGTGGGAGCAGGAAACTGTTTCTACCGACTGGAGCCGCTCCGTTATTGTTCCCATCTTCAAAGGAGGTTGGCGCTCGGAATGCGGCAAACATAGAGGAATCAGTCTGATCCACATCGCCTCCAAATTATTTGCCTCTGTAATCCTTCACAGATTGACTGGCGCTCGTGAAAGCCAGATTCGTGAGGAGCAAGCCGGGTTTGGTCGGAGTCGTCGCTGCATCGACCACATCTTCAGTTTGCGTCAATTGTTGGAGCAGCGTTACACATATTGGTGACCCATCGTAGTCGTATTCCTCGACATCAAAGGTGTCTTTGATTAGGTTGATCGATGTGCCCTTTGGAACTGCCTACTCAGGGAAGGTTCCCTGATAAATACGTAAACATTATCAAAGCGCTTTAGGTGCGTAGTTCGGGCAGAGTGGGGGCTTACGGCAAGCTGTAACCGCTAATCAGTATCTCTAGCGTTGTGAGACAACTTTGCCCGTTGTCACCTTTCCTCTTCAACTTTGCTATTGTCGAAGTCATGGAGATTGCACTTACAGGACAGGACTCTCAAGAGAACGACTTCTTGGCTTGGTGTATGCAGACGACATTGCCCTCATCTGTGCCAGCTCGCAAACGTGGCAAACTGCAATGGACAGAGTAGTACTGGCTTTGGTTTTCACCAACGAAATACAAAGCTTTCCTCCAAGTTTGACAGGGATCGCCTCCTTCGCTGACCCTTGGTGAGGATCAGGTAGAAATCGTTCAGACATTCAACTACTTGGGAAGTTGTATCAGCGCCCGTGGGATCGCAGACGAGATCACAGACCGTATATGATAAGCTCGAATTGCTTTTGCTAGTCATTGCCACCTATGGCGGCGGTGCGACATCACTCTCGCCCTGAGTAGAGTAGAGTGTACATTGCAGCGGTAGGTTCGACTTGACTGTACGGTTGCGAAACCTGGCCCCTAAGATCGGCGAACCTGAAGAGGCTAGTTACGTTCGACCATCGATGCCTTCGCAGTTTCGCTCAGATCTGGTGGGAACACCGCGTGAGTAACGAGCGTGTTTGACGCCTTGTTTATGACACAGGAAAAGGAAATGAACCGCTCAGAACCATCATTTCACACACCAGGCTTGAATGGCTCGGTCACCTGTTGCGCATGCCAGCCTATTGACTCCCACGACGTGCGTTATTTACTCGCCGGGTGTGTGTATGGAATAAGAGAAGAGTTGACCAAGCGATGACTTGGTTGAGAGGAATGAAGGCCCTCCCTTCGGAGCTGGTCTCCGTTGGAGCGTCACGGCTCTCTGGTTGGGGTCCAAGAACGATGAACTTGTTTGGCTAGATACACTTACTGACATGGCTAGGAGCCGCCCTCGGTGGCGTTTCTTATGTGAGTTTTTTGTCCCTTTCCGTCCCATTTAGCCTCCCGCTCCAACCACGATCTCATTTCTTAGCATGAGATAATTTTACATATTATTTTTTGTTGCCTGGTAACCAGCTGCTGGCTTTCCGGAACGATGCCCATCCGTTGCTGGTAGCTCATCTGGTATGTAACTGTTGCATATGTTTTCTTTTTTTGCTTTGTGGCACAGCAGCTGAGGTGTTTCGCACCTCTAGCTAATTTGTATTATGATGATAATGATTTAGTAGCACGAGACTGATTTTTACGTAAACAGTCCTACTTAACAAAGGTGAATGTGTGGGTATTTCAGGGAGACAAACATGACCAAACTTGATATACCATTTAGAATAAAGCATAGCACAAAAATGCTAGTGGAAGCATGCACCATCTCGCCAACTTACTTTGAGATTTGCCACACTTCCATATGGGGTTAGTTGATGAGCATGCAAATAGTGGGTCCGGTGATAAAAACGGATAAATGAAGAAAAGTAGTCCTGTAATCGTCTACCAAATTGAATCACCAGTTCTCTCAGTGTGTCCAAAACACTGGAATTGACGAAAGTAAGTCCAGTGAAAGTAAAATGTACCGATTGGAGGATTTCTTTTACAAATAAGAAGGAACAACAGGAGTTCTTCCACAGAGATCACTTAGTACCAAGAGCCCTAATTTTTCTCTGTGACCAGCTCTCAACCAGGTGTGTTCTGATCTCCTTAGTTCTAAAACGCATTCATGGACTCATGGGATAATATGGAGGATACCAAAGCCTTTGTGTTATTGGTGCTGGAATTACTTTTCCGTGATTCAGTACAGCTGTCCCCAGATCACAATACGGTGGACGTCATACACTCCCATTTGGGATCAAACACGGGCCAGTCTTTCAGATGCAGTTTACTCTGCGCTAAACTACCTTCCGCTCAATCTTCCCTTGGGTAAGTGTAGCAATTCTGCACCGAAGTCTGTCCAACGGATAATTTTATGAGCTTGGCTCTTCCCTTGGCTTCACAAGGCTGTGCAAGATGCATAATTGTTGAGGGTTTTCATGTAGCAGATCGTTTTCCCATGTTGTCAAGATCGGTATGTTTTGCAGAAGGTGTTGAGTGAAAAAGCCTCGACCAGTATCTAAGCAACACCACTAGTCATGTGATACGAAATATCCAACACTTTCGGTAATTCTAGACTAGAGCGTATGGTCAAGATGGCCACCTACCAATGGGTCGAGTTGATAAGCCATACTTACTGATCGCTGTTGTATACATCGTTTTCTAATGATCGTATTTATTGAACACTGCTTGGAGAGCCATAGTATTTGCTTATGTGTACTGTGCAAACAATTTTTACCTACAATTACGCATCCTGGTGGAAGGGTCACATTAGTGACACCTAGGTGCAAACTTTGAGCCAGTGAAGGTTGAATCAGAATTGAGTCAAGAAGAACGAGGTGATGAAAGAAGTTCTGGATAGACATAATTCAGTGGCGGGCAAAGGCACACAATACTCACAAGTGGTCTTCAAACTGATGTCGTCCAACATCACCCATTTTGTAGATAATCAAATCCAGAATATTGTAGAAATCTAGTCGGATTGCGGCGAAAGTTTGGCGGTCAAATTTTGGACAAGAGTACGTCAGTCGATCGAGAACCTGGCGCACGTGCTCGGTGTGAATAATTGGTTCCTGCTTTAGGTAACCGTATAGCAAGAAAGTCAATAGCTTGCAGGATATGGGACCTATGAGGTTAAAAAATAATATGATGTTGATTTAATTATGGTGCTACATGAGGTCAAGGGTAGATATTTTAAAGTTTACACTAAATCACAACGAAAGGTCCAACGCCCGTCTTAGTTTGCGCAAACACATGGTTTACATAATGTTTTCGTACCGGAACAAAATAAAGTGCAGGCGTATTGGTAATTTGCCCGATTAACTTCCAGGTGCTTTGAATTCAGTTTCATTGCTGACTTATTATCAGACCATCGAAGCGAGATTATTCCCGTCGTCATGACTCATGTGATCCAAGGAAGGATGTTTGCTGCTAACTATAGGGAAAGAATACCACTTAGAAATGGATAAAATTCGCAAAGGAGGAAGGGATGAACTTATGTAATCGATAGTGAACTACAGTCGTCATCAGACAGAGTAGTGAATGGAAGCAATTGGGACACAATCTAAGAGTTGCTTAGCTGGTGGCCTGCAGAAAAATGGCTGGAGAAAAAATCTATCGGATTGTGCAAAGCCGCTAATCAATAGGTGTGTGGCTTATACTCTTCGTTGGGGATAGGTCGTGTACTCCTCAGTTCTATACACCACCGGTGGTCAAGGAAACCAACAGGTGGACCATTTGATGCTATTGCTGGCTGGACTAGCACACTTTTCAGGACGCGAAACCATATAGTGTTTTACTGAACTGGTGAACCTAGCCACTAGCTGAAGCGGGATGAGGAGGAGAAGGCGAACACAAAACAAAACCGATTGGGTCGTCGGAAACGGCGGAAGCAATGCTAAGTCGAGAGAGCATCCCACCCATAGATGGTGAGGACATGTACACTTCCAAGTGCATACCACAAGCATAGAAGATGGACCGTCAGATGTAGAAAAATCCTTTCGCGACGTGGTTGGTTGGGTAGGATGTTATTGCAACCAACCGTTATCCAGTTGCAGTAAAAGCTAATCCACATGAAGTTTTTCTCACTATGATAGCTGCGTTAGCTCTAGAAACCTCCTCCGCCTTTCGGAAGTTGCACACCCAACTCTCTAGTCATTATCGCGGAACAACACACAATGAACAACGGTTTATCTCAGGTAAAAATATATATCGGTGTTTAACAATACCCGTAGGACGGTTGGTATGAAAACTATAGAACAATAGAAGGAGATGTGAGTCAACTATCTTGACGTCTATCGTGTTAGACCTTTCGCTGAATAACGATAGTATCAAATGGGAATTGAGCACAATCCCATGAAACAACATGGAGAGCAGTGCGCGAAAGATAAAAACAAGATCGCTCTCTTATGTATGGCTTCTTTGGGTCCATGTGACACACAAACCAGGTACGCATTTACCTATTTAATTGTACTTGCGGTAGCGAGTACTTAGGCCGAACTGGGAGAAGGCTGTCAGCGAGGACTGCAGAGCATGTTCCGCGAACCATGATCGCTAAGAGTACGAAGCTACCGACTAGCTCTATTGCCTGCCACATACTTGACTGCCTGAATGCCAAAACCCACGTGGCAATTTCAGGGTAGTTAACAAACAAACTAATCCCCGTTTACTACAGTTTGCGGAGGCGGCAGCAATTCGGCGGCTGAAGCCAAAACTATGCAAGCAAACGGATTTCGTGACCACGCTAGCCCTACCCCAGTGAGGCTAGTGATTGCGTTTTCCTAGGAACTGGTCACGTGAGCCAAAGGACCTTCGACCGCTTTGAATTTTGTACTGTTAACATCGCACTGTTTTACACTAACTGTATGTAAACAGCTGATGAAAATACTCGAAATTGCTGAATTCAGTAAATTCTGTTAAGATGTTGTTTCTTTTTGCTTTGTTGAAATTCGTGAAGGGAAATGCCTACATAATAAAGACATTCCACGGTAGCACAACCTAGTTAACCCTTTTGCCAGAGGCCACGTTTCTAATGGGCTATGATTTCTCAGACATTGTATCAGTGCTTCTACGGCGATTGATTCCATAACTTTGAAAAACACAGGAAGCAGTGATTTTAGCCCGTAGTTACAGGGGAGTGTGACTAACTCCCATACGAATGGGGGTGATGGCTTATCGCTTTCATACTAAGGGAATTCGGTTCCCCTCTAGGCAGGGATGATAGGAAACGGCCAGTGGTCCTGCTAGATCAAAGGCTACTGCTTACAGAGCTTTCGGTCGAATGCTATCGAGTCCAGGAGTACTGGAGAAACGCAGATAAAAACTTGAACGCGACTTCCGCCATGAAGTTGATGTTTGATAAACCTGACGATGGAGTAATAGAAACGAAGAGAAGAGTTGATCTCGCCACTTCTGGAAAGTGTGAGAGTAATAAAGCCCTAATACATCGGCTGCTTGCATTGCTGACCGCGTATACCCATCAGCCGTGACCAGTGCTAGGATTCCGCGCTTCACCATACGAAGTCCATTAACGTGCATGTATAGGAGATTGCGTTTCGTGTAGCATCGCTTCATTAACTCCTGCTGACGCGTCACCTTGTCCTTGCAGATCAATTTCGCACAAAAGTTATGCTGTGTCACGTATGCAGTCCAGGTGTCGGTATTGGGGAAGTCCATTCCAGCTCGCCTTGCTAAATCGCTCAGAGACATATATTTATGTGTTCTGCTCCTCGGAAATGACTCTTTGTTTCCGCGATTGAATGGTTTATGCTTTAGTGCATGCGCTAGCAGTTTGTTAAGCGTCTTTGTGGACCTTACCTAGGCTACTTCTGGGGGGCGTTCAGTTAAGAAGGTCCAAAATGTAACCTTATCAAGCGTGGATAACATGTTGTGCTGCGTGACAGTACCAACCAATTCTTCATTCTTTTCCGCTTAGCATAAATAGTCAAGCAATAGAGTAACATGGTCACGGTGACCCATGTGGACGCTTGTAACTCTTCTTTCGACCATGAGTTCGTCGTTGCTGAAAATATGATCAAGTATCAACGGCGTGTTAGCAGTTGGAATTCAGAGTTGAATGCCTGTCCGTTTCCCCTTACCCGTCTCTATTCACAGACATAAAGTTAGTGCTTACTTTTTGGCTTCGGACTTGTAATTAAGACGGTATCCTTGTATTTTCTTAAAATAGGTTATCTCTTAGCAAGTAACTTTTGGCTACATTTGAATAGCAGCTTTGCTTAGGTTTTCTTTTCTTATCCTTTGCATCACATAACAACAAGTGTACGGAAGTTTATGGATCAAGTTTACTGAATTCCTAGATCCACACAGCCAGTAGTATCCTTATTTCTGGTGCACAGAATTCCTTTAGTCTGGTTGTAGTCGTATGGCCGGTCGCTGCGCACTAAATTGATCAAGTGCTGATATCGGTTTCCTGTAAACATGCAACTCATGGAGACTCTCATTAATCTACTTTATTCGTGGTTTCTACATGACCATAACGCAGATATTGCATACGAAAAGATTTTAATAGTTCCTTTGTTCAAATATAGTAGAAGAAATGCATAAGCTCATTATTTATAAGAGATGACAGTTGATCAATGAGCATCGATTCTCTTACATCGCTGTAGAAGAGGAGTTCACAAACCGGTAATCAAGATCTCATGCTCCACACCCTCCTTGTGCAATCAACCATATTAGTTGTCGCACAAAAAGAAATGTGATGAGAACTGCTGTGGAGAGATCTCTTTTGGCCCAGAGATGCGAACTGCCGCACAGCTGAGGTAAGCAGCTCTGTCGCTGGGGCGCACATGAGGACATGGTACAACGTGAAGTACAGCATTCGGGGCAAGTAACACTCATGCGTAACCGCTTTAGCTGAGCGGAGTTCTAGGCATCGAAACTACCCAGGTGTAATTCAGTTACAATTCGTCGACCCGTAGAGTTCCATTTAATCTACATATATAGATATCTTGCCTAGCCTCTGCAGCTTTACACTGCCACAACAAGGATAAAGCATTCTTTGCAACCTCTTAAAGATGGTCACTAGGAATTACCCATAGAACGCCAAGGAAGAGGAGGAGGAGCGAATGTTCGAAAATAGTACACCGGCGATCACCAAGTTTCTCCAGCAACTTGCATCAAGAGGCATGAAGGTTACACCTTAACCTCCGATCGGCACACAGTGGAGGATAAATCCGCCCATTATCCTCTTCCGTTTAGAGGTAAAGCTGTCGCGAGTAACACCAGCAGAGAAATGAGCACGGCTTAACGGCTACTGGTTCAAGGATACACCAGCCAATGGTAATCTACATGCGTTCTAGTCACACATGGGAAGTAGGTGACAAAAGTTGACGGATAAATAACAAGTAAGATCGACGTTACAATCACTTGGATGTAGCAGGAAAAGAAGCATTCTCTTTTAATTTGAGACAGGAAACCCACATAATCTAGTCGCTAGGTTAAACATTTTGGCTCTCGAAAACAGTAACAAGGTAACTACACATGACACTGAGGCCTTCTTTCCGAAGTTAAGTTGGTGACCTAACAAGCAACTTCAGCATTAACTGTTGTACAGGAGGAAACTAGCTTGGTATCTGCATGTTTACAGTATACGGTACAAATACCAGCCTGCAAAAGGACGCTCACAAGATCATAAAGCCTTCTACAGATTTTTTGACTAAATGGGGGTATCCGCTTTGCACCAGTCTCCTCTCACTTGCCTTTCCACTTCCTAAGGGCATCATGTTGCGGTAGTCCCCCGATTATGGCAAGCGCCGAATCAGCTTCATTTCTGACGAAGGGTGCGCTGACCAGATTCGTACCTTTCACTACATAGCCTAACGCCACTGACTTGCCAGCGGTCTTTGATTTAACCTGTTGTGTCTGCTTGTGATGGGGCCACGTACCAAATGGCGTGTCTGAGAAGTTCCACCCTGTGCTAAAATCTCTATCCTGAGATCCCCTGACTATGTGAGAATCTAAGGGAAGCCATCCTTTGAGTTAGCCGCGACAAGTGCGTCTTGCCAGGTATTTCCTATCTTTCTCTTACTCCTTAACTTTTGCTCAAAATGATAGTAAATGAGGTTCCCTTACCTTCTACCACTCTTTCTTGGGCTTGGATTCTGTTAG